TATGGCGGCTTCGAGTCATCCTGTGCAGAATAGGATTCACAACACACACACACACACCAGTGTTTAGCCTTAAGGGTTTGTTCTAGTGGCCCGGTCAGGCTGGTACTTCTGATTTGTACTTGTCCTGCCTAAAACAGAAGTGAACAGCTTCTCCTGAGCCACACACGCTACATAATGTGCCAAACGCCGAACAGAACTCAGCAGAACTCTTCTGTAAACACAGCTGACCTGTAGAACATGAACTAAACTCTCTCCCTCTCATCAGTGCAGAAATGAACACAGTATAAGACGACACTATGGCGAGCGGTCAGCAGGTGAGGTGCGCACAGGTGATCATCTCTCAGTAGAGTTCAGCTCTCCTTCAGCATCACACTCCTCATCAAGCACACATTCACCAGGAGGAGAGACGACACCCTGCCTGCTCCTCATCCTCATCCATATAGCTGTACATGTGCCTGTCACACACACACACACACACACACACACACACACACACACACACACACACACACACACACACACACACACACACACACACACCTGATGCCGCTGGGACTGGAACCTGCAACCTTCTGTCAGAGAGGCAGCAGTGCAGACCACGGTGCACATCAGGCCCCGTTTACACCAATATGTTTTAGTTTAAAGCGCATGAGTTCTGCTGCGGTTCCGCCGTCCGTCCACACTACAGCAGAGTGTTCCAGCACTCCAAACAGAGCATTTATAAACGCTGAAGAGGACATCTTCATTTTAAAGCACTGCTGCTGTGTGTCAGTGTGGACGGGGGAAACACAGACATCTGAACACGGAGACGCGGCTGCAGACACACACACACACACACACACACACACACAAGTCTCCTACTTTGGGGCTGTCTCCTCCAGATGCCTCCTTGTCGATCTCGGACTGTGAGTTCTCGTTGATCAGCTCGGCTGTGAGTCCACGGCCCATCCGGTAGCTGGAGAGGCCGGCACCGCGAGGACTGGACGGGCAGGAGTTAGCAGCGCTGTGGACATACACACACACGCACACACACACACACACGCACACACGCACACACACGCACACACGCACACACGCACACACGCACACACGCACACACACACACACACACGCACACACACACACACACACACACACACACACGCACACACGCACACACACAGGTATGAGCAGTGCAGTGCCAGCCCTGTGCTGGTGATGTGGGTTCTGCTCACCTGATGGTGCCGGTGGGCGAGGGCAGCGGGCTGCGCAGGTGTGTGATGTTCTCCGGGATGCTGATGGTCAGCGGGGAGATCTGCGCCTTCACCGGAACCTCCAGCGCACCCCTGCACTCCCGCTGGTCACTGCACAGCGCCGTGAAGCTGATCTTTATATTAGTGCTGGGGAAGCGGAGCGTGCACCTGGAACACAGCACAGCGCCACTTACACACACACTCATGGAGACACCGGCGAGCAGCGCTTACACACGCTTACACACACACACACACACACACACACACACACATAGAAACACCGGCTCCTGGGTGTCTTTGTTGCCATGGCAATGAGAAGCAGCTGATCACCTTCATGGTTGCTAAAGCCAGGGTTGGTACAAACTAAATTGATCTGGCTTTGAGGAACTGGCCTGAGACCAGCAGCAGACAGCTCCAGAATCAGCTGAAGATGAGCTGAACACATCCCACTGACCAGAGAGAGAAAGCTGAACCCAGCAGACAACACTGGCTACATGAAACACTCACACACACACACACACCCTCCTCATTATCAGTGCAGTGGGGGATCAGGGCCGATCTCTGTGCTTCTGCTGCGGTCATGAGCTGATCTCAGAGCAGCGCTGGTCTGTTTCTGCAGCAGATGCTGGAGCGCCTCTGCGGTGACTATACGATGACTACAGCGGACGGACGGACGGACGGACGGACGGACACACACACACACACACACACACACACACACACACACACACTTACGCGCGCGGCAGCTGCAGTGGGGGGGCTCCGCGCCGCTGGAACGCTCCGTCCACAAACACGCCGTTTTTCCCCAGACACCGGAGGTAGAACTCGCCCGCCCCGTCCTCCCCGGCGGAGAAGATCTCCAGATGTCGGCGGGAGATGAAGCTGGAGTGGCCCATGCTGACGTCCACCGAGCCCTGCGAGGAGTTCCGGCCCACCGTTACCGAGCGCTTCTTCATCAGATACTCGAACTCGCGGCCCTCCAACCGGGCGACCACCGGGCCCGCCATCTGTACCGCCGCTGACCGGGAGCTGCTGCTGACCGGAGCCCGCGGGGTAGAGAAACACCGGACGGCGGAGGAGCGGTGAATCTGACGGAACGGACACCGGAGAGCGGCTCCAACCCGCGGCCGCGACCGAGAGAATGAGAACAGCGGACACTCTAGCAAAACACACCGGGGGGGCGGGGCCAGCCTGACGGACAGCGCCGGCGACCAATGGGTAGGCGAGCAGAGTACTGAAGGGTGCGCTCCACCAATCAGCAGCGAGAC